GAAATGCAAAGACTGCGTTAGTAAATACGTGGCTGACTCACTATTATTTACTTTTTAGTAGTGAAGGAGAATAATGCGCTGTAGAAAGCAGAGAAAGGGTGGAAATATCTGTGTTTTAATAATGTTCAATCTGACTGTTATGAAATCCGGTTGTTGATCTCTTATGTGTGCAGTCCATACTGCAGAGAAGAAAGGTGTGCTTGAATAGGAAATGCAAGAGCCAGCAGCTGGTAGAATTATAAAGAATTGAGACTTGGTGGACATATTTATCAAAGGAAAAAGTATGCTGCAAACAAAGCTGCTGTGACTCATTTTCCCAAGTACCACGAGCTAGTCTGGATGCTCTCACCTTCTCCCTCGATACGCTCAGGCAATGACAAATGCAAGTGTCATCTGTGACTATGAGCCAAAACAGCAAAAAGCCAGTCAGTTAATACCAGTAGAGGGGGAAATTCAGCCACACTAGTTGTGATGAATAGATACCATATATTCTTTAAGGTAATTTCGTGGCTTTCTTTTCAGTTTTCATTTTTCCACTCAGCAAATTTCTTCTAGGAAACTTCAGGCTGTTGGCGTCTCTCTGAGATCACACTTCCTCCCATTTCTCAACATTTACAGCTCCACACTACTACATGAAAACCAAAGGAAGAAACCAAGTGGGCTGCATTAAGACAACTACAAGATTCTCCTAAAGAACTTATTAAAAGATGTTATGATGTGCTATTTATTATATGCAATAGCACTCTGATTGACTGTGAGGCACCAAGAAAGTAAAGCACAAAATTTAAGGGGTTTGTCCTAGTCAAGTTTCAATCTTGATATTAAAATAAATAAATAAATAAAATAAAAGTTAAATGTTTATATGTTTACAGCCTCCAGGAAGTCAAAACTGGACCCAAAACAGTCATATATATGTGTGGCTGTCTGTTCCCTTACTCCTCCTAATCAATGTGGATGAAACTTATTATATAAACTGCTCAGGGTACCTCATTGAGATTAAAAATCTCATTTCCAAGAGAGACCTGGCATCATGGCAACAAAAGTCAAAATACACATACCACATAAGTATATAACATTTAAAACAAATACAATATCCCATACCAACATGTGTAAAATATACAATAGCAGATATATACATCTACAGTGATATAATGAAGATGAAAAGAATAACTTAATAAATTATAATGAATCTGTGTTTTTGTACATAAGCAGAGCAAACAAGTGCTGCAGACTAATGATACTAAAAGTCAAAATGCCAACAATGGAAATAATTTTCAGTATGAAAAATCATCCGTGGTGATTTGAGCTAATGTCAACATGCTCACAGTGACGATACAACCATGCCGATGGTAAACAGCTGGGAAGTATAGCACATTTGCTTGCACCAAGCACAAAGTGTAGCTGAGGCTGACAGGGATTGCGCTGTCTAAGAGATAAGACTGACTCAAAGTTAGAGTGGCTAAGGAGTCCTGCATGTGTTGCACTAAAGGTCTCAAGGCTTAAGCTTTCTCATAAGTTAAAACAAAATTAGCCAAGTAGCAACCTAACTTGATCAGATACTGGGCAGGACCTAAGACAACTTGGAAGAGCAGAACTCATGAGTTTATAACGACTGAAGTCATTCTGCTGTATAAAGAAGGTTTTAAACAAAGATTTTATCTGCAAAGTCTGAACATGGCCCTGACAGGTGATGCTTTGACTGTGGCCACTGAACAGCTATAACGCAAGGGTGATTACACACCTTCCAACCAATCCAAATCCATCACAGGTCACTTGGTGTGACAGCCCTTCTCTCAGTTTACCTGCACATGCTGACCCAACGATAACAAATGCACAGTGTGCGCCGTGGTAAAATTGATAACAACAATCAATATCAACCACTGAAATCATTGGCACGGTTGCTTCTGCAGAAAAGAAGGTGTCGACCGCTCTCTGCCTCGTCTGTCTTTTGGCAGGAGCAAAGCATGGGATCAATATGCTACAGGCAGCTCGCTGGTGGCCCGGCAGGGATGAGAAAGCAGACGGGGGGGAGAAATAGGAAGGAAAAGATGGGATGATGACATGGCTTTGCAAGGCTCTAGGGGGGTCAAAACACAAAGCGTGGTGCAGAAACAGGTGATAGGGATGCGTCCAGAGGCGATAAGGAAGGAAAAGTTTTGTGTGTAACGCAGGAGTCAGTAGTTTAGCAAACACTTAAATGCAGCATGGACACGGGGCAGCCTGACAGCTTGTCGATTCAGTGAATTTATAATGAATGTTCTTTTATGCTCCACTTTCTCTCTAACCTTTCTCCTCTCCTTTGCTCCCTTTATCTCACCTCCCCTCCTCTCTTCATTTAGAGCATCAACACCTCTCACCCACCCCACCCTGTCACAGGCTCATGTAGCCTATCATCCCGAGAGTAAAAACAAAGAGTTATACGAAAGGTGCTTAGTCGCATTTCTTTCTACCCCTGCTGTTGTGGTGTCCTAATGATGCAAATGTTAGGCCAGCTAATGAGCAGGAGCTATGTTTGGGCTGAAGCTCACCTTGCCGCCTCATGAATAAAAGCACCGTGTCAGAGTCAAGATGTGTGTTTCTCTCAGCTCTCAAACAGCGACCATTACAGATGGTGCTTTCTCACATTACATCCAAGAAAAGAAGACAACTGTTGTTCCATAACAGTGTCCAAAGAATAAGCTAGGCATTTGAAATGAAAATTTATTTAAACTATTAAAATGTAAGCAACCTGTCCTGTCTAAAAAACCACGCACACGCACACAGAAGCAAGAAAAAGTATATAAAACTTCAGCTGGAACTCTGAGCAGCCTCTCACCTGTGCAAGTCACATAACCTTTTGACTCAGAGTTCATTCTGGCTGTCACCGACGCACGCCTCTAAAGGGGAGTGAAACCAATAGATGTTAGCTCTGTGTTATTGCAATAAACCTCATGGCTGCTTGCATTTCTCTCCCTCCCCACCTCGTGGCTTAATCCTCCGTACTTTTGCCCTTCAGTTTTTAAAGACAGCCTGCGGGCTAGAAGTGCCCTTTGCTGACTTGTGGCTGACAGTGAATAAGTTCCCCTCTCGTCTCCTCCCTTTTATCTCTGAGATCATTCTCTGAGTGGGTCAAGATCAATGGTGCTCCCTGCAAATCTGCCCAGACTCTGGGTGATTCTCATTGACCTTACACGGGGGTAACTGAGCGCTCCTACTCTCATCCTGCCGCTGGCTTTTGCATCCACTCCTATGGAGAAATTCACCTCCTGCTCGCACTGTTTTTATCGAGAAACATGGAGCATACTGGCGCAGGCCGTTGCTAAGTTCTTGTCTGCCTCAAACCGAAATGTATCTGGTTGGAGATTTGCGGTCCTAAAACCAAACTAGTTTCTAATGCTACAGAAGGGAAAACTGTGGTTGGAGACTCAGGCAGAACCGAGATTAGGTTCGGTCTGAGGTGAGGGACAACCAACTTTTGTTGTCCCTCACCTCAGTCCCTCAGGTTAGGCTGTGAGGTGAAAATCCCCAAAATACAGGATATCATTCACATCTTAATTGTGGAAATGAAATCCAGAATTTAAAAAAATGAAAATAAAAAAAACTTACACATTCATCATGTTTTTTAAAGTGTTCCATCAAGACAACATAAGCACAAGAAGGAAAGAGTAAGTGGTGCGACTGCCATCCTCAGGCCCATGGATGAAGAGAACAAGTCCATCCAGATCCAGCTGGGGCTCTCATCCAATGGGATCCCAGTGAGACCACCTTCAACAAGATGGATGGCGCACGCCGAGCTTCAAACTGGGCGCACCCAGCCCAGACATCATTGGGTCCGGGCTGAATAAAGAGGTGGTGGCCCCTCGCCTGCTCTTCCCTAATAGGAGGCGCTGCCTGGCTGACAGCAGCCCATAAATAACCCAGTCGACGTGTCACTGGAAAAGAACACACTCACCTGAGCGTACTCACTCACTCACGGGCACCACAAGGGAGAAGCAGGGTGCAATAATACAAGGCCATACAGACACAGAATGACAACACGAGTGTGTGAAGATAGGTCGCAAATTATTTGCTCCCTAGCACATATTATGTGGTCTGATTAAAAAGATCAAACAGGATTTGTGCCACACTTTCAAACCACATTAGGGTGGCTTAAATTAGCCACCAGTTCATCTGTGTTTTTGTCAGGTCACCATAATGACTGAGCAGCGTTCTGGGGAGCTGAGGACAGAGCAATTTCCCTTTTTCTTTATTTCTTATGGGAAAAAGCAAACCTGCAATCATCCACTTAGGCTGTAGATGATGACTATTTGTCAGGTGTTCATTTCATCTGAGCTAAAGGTCCAAATCGTCACATTTTACAGCTTTCTTACAGACAATCACACATGGTCACCCAGCTGTAACCACGTTTCTTTTAAAGCCTCGAACTTTTTCCCTGCAGTCATTTTGATATGAATTCGTACATGTGTTAGTAATCACACTAATTACAACAGAACTTTAATTAATGTGATTAGCAGCACCGTAGTCTACCTACTATTACCTCTCAAAATGGCCATCATACGAGGACAGCTGTTGCGTTTGCGCTTTTTTCCCCTCCAAACGCGCCAAGCTGTTTGTCAGAGTTATCTGACATTTTCAGAGTATGTTTTTGTTTCAATTAGTCTTTAATTATTTTAATATTTAGATATTCCTCAATTAAGCAGGCAATAACGGCCAGCAGGAGCCAATCTGCTAGCCAGAATATAGAAACGAGCTATCGAAAAGTGGGGAAATTTTTATAATTTTAAGTAATTTTACAGCATCCCTCAAACACCTCAGAGCCTCAAACACGTGGAGGACTTACCACAGCTCATCAATTGACACCACAGGCAAAGTATTAAAAGGCACATATTATACTGTTATAGAGCATGTTGCAGTCAGAGAGTCTGCCTTACTGCTTTATTTCCCTCTCGTTCAGACACTCTCCGAAAAACAAACACGCACGTGAAGCTTCGGCTCAAGCGGTCGACGTCATATGCGTCGTGACGCAATGCGGAAGTAATTTAACCAAGATGGCTGCGTCCTTCACAGGCATGATTTGGTTTCACTGAAGTGTCAGATAATGTGTAGCAGTTGCATTTTTAAGAGCTAAAAGACCGCAAGGGCAGCTTTGAGAGCGGAAACATGGAGAGGCGAGAGTTCGTGGCGTCTCTGGTGGTAAGATAATTTTATTTACACAGAGTCGTACTTTAAATACAGACAAATATAAGCTGTTAACCCCCCTCTCATATATCTGGATTAAAAAACGCCACTTTGCCGGTTCCTTGTTGTTCAGACAGTATAATGAAATCTGTTTGAACAGGTAAAAGTCCATGACGCTTTATGTTTAGCTCGAGAAAATAAAAGAACGGTACTGAAATGAATATATGTAAACGTTATTATAATGTAAATATAAATATATAGATAAATATAAATTGATAAACTTCAGTTAATCTTCTAGCCAGTCTGTTTTCGGTTGGAGTTTTGTGGAGACTTGAACCGACCTTGAAGAGTCGATTTTAAATGAACTCTTACAGACACAACCAACATTTCTCAGCTCTCCTTGTTTTGCAGTCAAATATTTGCTAGACATTAACGTGACAATATAGCAGTGTTTTCTGTTTCTTAAGTGGACAGTGGGTGAGTGTTGCAGCATTACTGTACATCTCACAATGTGACTGTCACCGCAGGCAGGTGGCTGTGCGGGGATGTGTGTGGATCTGACCCTGTTTCCACTCGACACAATAAAGACCAGACTTCAGAGTCAGCAGGGCTTTTACAAGGCTGGAGGCTTTAGGGGCATCTACGCCGGAGTCCCATCTGCTGCTGTCGGCTCCTTCCCCAATGGTATGATGTTAAATTGTGACAGCTGGATATGTATTCCCTCTGAACTATTGTTTGCATTATTTCTGTTCTTGTGTTATTCTATCAGTGTCTCACTGTGTATCTGTAAACGTAAGTCACGGTGTAAATAATAATAATATTTACACCGTGACTTATTCAGCTCATTCATCTTGAAGAAGATATAAAATTATATCTCATATTAAAAAAAACTACCTTAATCTCACCTGATTCTGTGTCCATGTATATGGAGGGATTACTGAGTAATGCAACCAGAAATGACAGCAACGTATATCTAATTTTTTTTTTTAAAAAAAACAACAAAAAGAAAAACTTCCAAACTGCAATCATAGCTTATGTCTTGGTCACGAGTTGTTTTGGAACATATCTTTTCCTACACTTCCTACACCTGTCAGCATTTAACAGAACTTACCTGTTTGGTAGTATAATCTTTTACCGTTCACACATAACCTTATTTTGCTCTTCTGATAGACGTCTGGTTGGATATTTTAGTTTGGTAGTTCACAATCAGATTAGTTTGATAGGAGGCCAGCTGATTTATCAGTGGGCCGATATTGTCAGTCGATATTAGTTTTTTTTTAATCTATCAGTATTGGCATTTTCGATTAGCTTAGAACTTTGTTTTATATCTTCTCTTCGAACAAGATAGAAATTTAGGGGTAACTTGGCCTTACAAACCCAACAGTGAGATCTTAAGAGATCCAGCCTACGGCTCTTCAATGGGGTGTCACAGAGTCCCCAGGAAAAAAAAATTTAAATGTAAAATAAATATTCTTCTGTAGCAATAACAAAGTATAACATAAATTATTCTGTAGCAATTACACAAGAATATCCAGTAATGTCCCTGCCTACAATCAAACACATTCACTTACTGAAAATCGGGACATCTGCTGTGGCAAATGGGTGCAAGCCTTTGACCACAAACTTAGTCACTGCTCGGTGACATTCGTCTATCCTGGCCTGAAAGGAGACGCTAACGGTAGACTGCAGTGAGAACTGCCAGCATCTGAGCCAGACTCTGTCCGTCTCTCTCATCATGGTCACCTAAATGCACAGTAATGGCAGGTTTTGTAATAAGGCAGATCACGCTAACATAATATGCACTGTTAGTTGATTATTTACCTGCCACATTAACTGGAGAGGACGTGCAAACGTTACAGCTGCTGCTGGGTTGAGATTCACGAGTCCGGAGCGGAATTAAAAACACGACATTCATTTAAGGTTATCGCGTGTTTTTTGCATATTCGTAGTGTTTGTGTTCAGGCTTTCTAACTTTTTCTACAGTCACTGCTTCAAAGACGATCAAATGTTTAAAAAAAAAACCCTTCAAAATCTCCATGGAATGCACTTATGCTTTTCTCACAACTTTAAGTGCTGCCAATTGCTTGTTACTCCTTTAAACAGTTGCTGAAAAAAAGTACCATTAATAACACTGAAGCTGATTCATTTATTTGTTGAGCTGCAGCAAATTAACCATGCACTCAAAGAATTTACCACAAATAACACTGTAGCTTTCTGAAAATTTAGTGATTATTTGAATTCACTGGAACCTTAAACTAAATGATGCTCAGAGGCTCTCCTTTTAGCATTTTGATCAATTATTTTGCTTTACAATCCTATTTAAATGTCCCTTTTATATCCGTTTGTTTTCTTAGGATTTAATTTGGGAACTTTGAATTGCCTTGTAGTTGAAGTGGTCTATAAAGGGCCTATAGATGTAAACCTCTCTAACTGTAGCTTAGTGTTTTCCACACAGGCAGCATCCTGGTCAGGGAGAGCATTTGAGAAGGTGCCAAGCACTGTCTTGCAGGGTAGCAGCTCCAACGTACCTAATATTTGAGCATCAGTTTAAAGAAAGTATGTTTTTTCTGCATGTCTACCACTCTCACAGTCAGAAATTGGAAATACAATAAGCATCTCTTTATTTGAGTAGAGTAGAGTGATTTTGATGATTTCATCTGTATACTTTTGCAGAATAATGTGTTAACTTTCTTTGAGTTTAAGTGCAGGCAGACACACACACACACACACACACACACACACACACACACACACACACACACACACACACACACACACACACCTCAGTTCCTCCCCTGTCAGTGGTAGTGAGGGATATTAATTGCTCTATGCTGGTTGACTAATGGGCCTTAAACGCCTGTGGTTCTGCTTGGTTTCAGCCGCTGCTTTCTTCGTCACCTACGAATACACAAAGGCCCTTCTCGGCACCGGTGGAGTGTTTGCATTACCACATGTGGCACCTGTCACTCACATGCTGGCCGCCTCCCTGGGAGAAGTAGTAAGTCAGCCTGTCCCTCATTCTCCCATCCTTTGTCTCCTCTCATGTGGATTTCTATCCCTGTTTCGCTCTGGCAGTAAACTGTTGAGTCATTTGTATTCTTTTGTTGGTCTAAATGATTCCCAGCACTTCCATCTTTAGAAGGCCAGCTGTCTTTACATGCATATTTTTGCTCTTCTGTGTTCTTGCCCTTGTTGTTTCTTTCCCACCAATGTATGTCCCAAATGTCTCTTAATGTTTTCGCCTTTTAAATTTCGTAGACCGCTTTTCAATGGAGTAGCTGGGGAGGGAGTATGTGGTTTTGGCTGTAGGCCTCAAGGTCCAGCTGGGTGAGTTAAGGGGGTTTCCTCGGTACTGTCCCAGCAGTTCTCTCAACCAGCTGGGTAAATAAGACCTCATTACTGCCTATTGATTCATCTACTTTCCCATCTCAGTACCCCAGACTCTGACAATTTAGTCTGGGAAATTCACGCTTGAAACCAATGAGAAGCAGCGCAATTTCCTCAGCCGAATCCTCTCCCAGTCACTTGTAGTGAACCGCAGGATTTGAGCCATAAGGGGGCCATGGGTATTCACACTGGCATGAAATGGGGGATATGGAAAATAGGATGCCTCCCTTGGTATACCCTAGGCTGTCTGCAAAATGCTAGACATTCAGTATTCATGGCTTTTGGATGGGTGTAATTTAGCCAGGTTTTGCATGTTTATGAAATGGGATTATTCCACATGGCAGGTTGTTCACTGTACTTTAGGTTACCTACGAGGTGCGATCAGAAAGTTCTGAGACTGAGCCTGTTCTGCAAGAACGGAGTGAAGCATGGCATCATGGTTTAAGACCTAGAGCCCAACAAGCCTTCTAGTGGGAGAGTTTCCTAGGAGCAGCTTGATCTGATGCATCATGCAGATGTTTCTTCCTCTTTCCCAGAATGAAATTCAAGTTGAAAGTTTGACATTTTGACATGGTGGAAGAGATCCAGCACGGGTCGTTTAAGGCGCTTACAGAACTTCCGGAGGGAGCGATCCGAGTGTGGCAAAGCACAGAGAACAGCGCGGTGCTACACAAGTTGTTGTTTTGTTTTGTTTTTGTTTTTTTTAATTTACAGAAGTCTGTAGCCAAACTTGGATCAGGGAAAAGTTTTTGCCTTTTTTAGATGGAGTCTCTAAACTTTTCAGGCCTCACAGTGTTCGCAAGAGGACATAATGATACTCGAAGATTAGCAAATCTTCCCCTAGTTCTCAGAATTAGTGTATCAGTTATTGGGGTTACCGTATGTGTTTAACACTTCACAATCAGAACATTTTTTTTCAGGTTTTTTATGTATACTACAGTCAAGTTGAATGTGAAAGGTCAGGCAGAGGTTGCCACTACCTCTAACCTCATTGTGGATTTGAGCACATCAAAGGCACAAATCCACAGAATGGAGCCGAGCAGAGCAGGGGCGGTATCCTCCTGCATTCTGCCAGCTGAGATCGTCTTGTTCAAAGAGGCTAATCTTCAGGCTTAGCCATGAAAGGCCTACCCTAGTGCTGCCCCGAGTTAGATACAAGACCTAAACTTCTGCACTGTGATGCAACAGCAGCCAAATATGATTCTTTGTCTCAGTAGGTGCTAATGACTTTTTATAACGGTCTTGTTTTGAGTGTCTGACAGAAGTGGTGACAATTTCTTACTTTTCTTAGTATTTGCCAAGAAAATAATTAATAACACAGGCAGCAGAAAATGCGTGATTAACAAACATTCTGGTAATCCTCACTTCCTGAAGTTTTGTTTCATGAGAGGTGTATCTGACTTACTTTAGCACTCTTTTATTTAGCTTCAGGAGACAAGACACCCTCTTTACTTTTATGATGAGCATAAATCTTTTCTTTTTAATTGAATTTATAGTTTGGTCTTGATAAGTAAACTTGAAGCCATCTGTTAATTAGGCTGCTATGGCTGCTGTAGGACTTCCCATGATGTACTGACCCTTCCTTATTTTCTAGTCCTCATGTATATAATGTTGTGGGCATTTAGTTTGATTTTGTCGATTCTCTCCTGTAGTTTTTCTCCTTTTGAATGTTCATGACTGTTCTCTCTTCTCCTTACACTGGTCATGGCCTGCTTCTGCATCTTGTCTCTTCCTGTAAAATTCGGATTTTTCCTCACCACTCTCACCAAGTGTGTGCTTAAACAGGCTACTTTACAATATAAAGTGCTTTGAGATGACTGTTCTATTGAACTGGCAGCATATGATTAAAATTCAATTAAATGTAATTATTGATTCATTTCAGCACACTTCTTATGCACCTTTATAAGGATGGGTGAACTCCTGCTATGGCGAGCAATCATTTGTCCATCCGTCCATTCATAACTCACAAGAATTGCCGCTCCTCCTACATTGCTCAAGATTTGATCAAAGTTCCATGCATTGATCTCCAAATGCTTCTTCACTCAAGGTCAAGGTCACATTTGTCTTTTTTTATGGGCCCTTTGCCATTTTCACAGCTTCACCTTCATGCACACTACCTACAGTTTCACTAAATTCTCTCTCCTGAAGTACTGAACAATATTCAGTTCAAAATATTTAGCAAAGCCGTTAATATGAGATTGTCTTGCAATTCCAGTGATGGTAAAGAAAGACGGGCTAGGTGGTGATCATGATCATTATACGGCAGTGGTCGTATTGGTCGATTCCCACACCAGGGAATCACCATTAGGGTAACATCAGCATTACAGTGAAAACTATGACACACTGATGTGACACATGTTTACTATCTATGGTCATAATTACTAATGACCATATAGTTGTAATATTCCTGTTTTTCACACATTAACCTGTGAATTGCGATGGATCGTAAGCAGTCATGTTAAAATCTGCTACCTTTGAGTTTTTGTTTATGCAAACAACTACATTACTTTCTAGTTAGTCTGTTAACTCAACATAATAGAAAATAATACAGAATAAAACCCAATTCTTATCTGCTGACAGGGTCACTTGAATCTTACGTTATTCACTTGGTTTCATCCAAAGTTCCTTTTTTTAATAGTCCATCTCATCTGAGCTGAGATTATATCATAACTGGCCAATCATAGCTAGGTATGTTTTTCGCTTGTCCAAATGTTTTATGAGTCAGTGCCAGGTAACAGGTTAAAGCAGAAGCACATCAGCTCTGTCAGATGTGTGTGAGATGGGTGACAGAAAAACACGGTCACACAAGACTTTATTTTCTATTTTGGCACTTATATGTGCTATAATTTAATATACAGTGTGCTAAAAATGTTTTTGTCCTTTAAGCCACAAATAAAAAGGACATTAGGCAACAAATTGCCAAAGGAAATTTTTGAGGGATCAAGGAAAATATTTCACAAACAGATTTTATGAAAACTGTGCAGCTTCCCCATTTTCATCCAAATGTAATATGTCAAACAGATCGTAATGACCACCTATCTTTAACCAGATCTAATCAATCTTCATTTTTTCCCCCTCTTTACAAACAGGCCTGACTTTAGTAAGCAGTTAAGCTGGTGGGATGGATGGCGACTGTAGATCAGAGTGACTCGCTTTGATTGTTTCCTTATTGCTCTACCTCCTTCTCGTTTTCTCTTGTCGAGACCAGAGCAGCAGTTGTGTGACACACACAACTTAAAGAAGAGGCAACTTGTTATTTGGTCCTCGCCTGACTTCCCCTCTCTAACCCACTCAGTCTACGATCCTTTCCCCCAGGAGGCTAGTGTGTTTTACCAACTGTTTCCACTCCACAACGTTCACTACAGATGTTTTACGGGCACTTATTGCTTTGCGACTTTGATGTCCAAGCTCACTGGATGATGTGCTTGACTTAGCAATATCTTATTAATAAATGTAGACTAAATCTATTATAGCCATACCAAAGGGAGTTTGCTGCTCAGATTTTATTCTGTACCAACGTATGATAGTGGAATTAAAATCCTTTGGTCTAACAAGTGCACAGTCTTTGTGGACGAAGCCAGAAATTTACTAGAGCTGTTGAATCTTACTCTTCAAGTGTCTATATTAACCTAGTTACCACTGCATTCACCTGCAGGCAATAACAGACAGACAGAGAGTTGTAGAGAGAAAGAACTCGAGAGGGTCGAGACAATGAGAGAAAATCCCCACTGCCACAAACACCTCGGTGTTTGTGCGACCGCAGTGGTGGGACGCTCCCATAAAGAATGTGTAAGCTGATGGCGTCTGTCAGGCTCTAGCAGGCTGTTATCCAGCCATTAGATCAGATTTATCTTCATTCCCATTCGCTCGACGTCTGCCCTGAAAGCTCATTTGTCAAGGCCAGGCAGCAGGCTTCTCTCGCATCTATAACCCCCCTCCCCACACCCTCTTACTGCCACACATCTGTGGGAGGATGTACTGGAAAATACAGTGTGACATGACAAGATAGGGGGGACATTGAGAAGGAGGGAGCACAAGGGAGGAGTTTCTTTTTTTGGGAGGGAGGTAGGAGAAACTGGCAGCCACTTAACTTGGCTCTGAGAAATAATCCATGCATCGCCTTCGAGGAGCGCCACGCTCTGTGATTTATTGGCTGTTGTTTCAGACTTGGAGACATGCAGTGTCCTCATCTCTACCCTTCTTCTCCATGACCTTTTTCTTCTCCATCTTCCTTCTTTCTTCCATTTTCCTTGCTTACTTTATCCTTTGCGATACTGTAATGCATTTGAAGTATAATGAAATCCAAAGAAAGCAGTGGTTACAGACAGTATTGTCTTTTTGAAAGGGCAGCTCAAGGCACTCTTACTGTTTGTTTTTTATTTTTTATATTGTGTTAACTGCACTATAGTTGCAGCCAAATGTCAACAAAGAAAAAAGATTAAAATTTACTATTGTCCACAAAAGGGCAATCTTGTTTCTTGGTGGTGATCGCACTGTTTTTTAATGATGAATAAATCCAAATAAGTTAGGCCCAATGCAGTTATTACAGCCTATATGTTTTCCCACCTGTTGTTGCTATGGTGCCAAACGGCAATCCCGGTCCCGACTGACCGACCACCGTGTCCTGATGGCCAGACGTGGTAAAAGAGGCATGGGGGCAAAGGCTTGCCGGATGGAGGGATTTAATGACTCTAATGTGCTACGAGTCTCTGCTAATTTCCCATCCCTTACTGTGGTTCTCCCATGACTGAGTGCTGGACTTTCACTACAAACGGAAAACATACTCTGTCATTTGGACTAACGACAACAGGCCAAACTGAAGAGCTTCAAACACAGACAGGCAGCTTCCTAATGAAGGCTGCTTGACATATCCAGCAGCTTGTAAATAAAGATAAATGGTAGCAGAAATTTAAAAGGCTACCAACAGATTTCTAATAAGTTTACGAGCCGGAGGAAAGTGTTGAATGCTTGCATGCTTGCTTTCGTTCCCCTTCTTGATTCTGTGCTTCTTTCTTTTTCTTTTTCTGGTTTGATTTCTTTGTATCTCGCTTGCTCTCCGATGAGATATTAACTCCGCATCTCTAGCCATTATTTAGATTTCCTTCATCCCAGCCATACCTCATTGTGTCCTCATTCAGCATCACTCATTTCCCTCCCTCGTTTGCTGCCGCTTCTGATACTGTATCTGAAATAGCCTCGGAGACCACACACTCGATCTTTTATCCACTCAGCATCATCGTCGCCACCTCTAGTTGCACAAATTACTCCCAAATAAACAATGTTCCTCATTTATTTGGTGTAATCTGTGTCTCATTCTGGCCTCCTCGCTGCAGTGACAGGAAAGGAAAAGGCCATCTTAAGTCCAAACCCCCAGCCAATTACATCAGTAATTACTTGTCATAGCCACTTTCTTTCCATTTAGCTGCCGTTTTCTGCTCCTTTGGAGAGTTGGTTTGGGGTAAACATGATGTACAATGTATTAGAAATTCTAACTTGACCAAAGGGGGAGGGTAAATGAGATCTCAGAGGCAGATGCAGCAAGCTCAGTTGTTGCGAATGGGTCATGCAGGTGCGAGTTTGGGCACTTGGTGGTAGTGTTGCTCCGTGGTTGTGCTGCAGCTGGACACACTGATGTGAAACACCAGCAGCCTGCACAGAATTATAGAGGCGCATTCAAGTCGTTTGTTTTTGCTGTTATGTATGGAGATTAAGGCTGCTGTGTTCACTGTGTGCTGAAAAGAGGAACAACTTGCGTAGCCTGCAGAAAACGTGATGTAGTGAAAGTCAAAACAAAGTTGAGAATTGGTCCATCTGTTGCTCAACAGTCAGCAGGTATTATAGCAGTACAGAAAAATAAGAGACGACAGAGAGAACAAGTGTCCACCAGAACCCTTTAACAGCTTGCGGTGTATCTTTGCCTTCTTATTTACAGGGTATGGCCCAAAAGAGCCTAAAGAGCCCAAATGCTAAATCACTATAGCGACAGCTGAACTGGGAAAGGAGCAAAACGGGAAGCGTCTTTAATACACTGCCTCTAACATTCCTTCTCTCCTTGCTATCCTCCTTGCTTGGTGTTGCTGTGGCGTCTGGCATCTGTGCGACTAAGGGAAGTCACAGTAGGGTGGGGGGGGGGCTCACAAATCGCTCTCAAAGATTGCTTGCTGTTAGCCGGTTTTTCCACTCCAGTGCAGGATAAGTGGGAAATCAAGCCGCCAGGTGGGCAGCTGTGCTTGCCTGCCTGCCTCTCCTTGCCTTTCGGACCATGGGAGTTATGAAGCATAAATATTCATGTCTGTCTTCACTAGCTGTTGGCAGTCCATATTTTTGTTGACATATGGTGGATGGGTTGGGACTTGAGCAGGGAGTGTGGCTGCTGGGGTGTGCATGCGTGTCTGGATCTATCAGGGTGTTTGACGGTAGCATGTTCCTTGGACACAGATACACAGTCAGCCTGATGACCTTTTGCAAACATGACAACTGTTGCTCTGGTGTCATGTCCACTCTGTGTACCAGTTTGTTAATTGGCCCAGTTGCGCACTAACTAAAGCAGTCGTTAGCCTGCCAGCTTCATGTAATTGCTCTCCTCGAGCCGTGCCACATCATGGCCACCTGCCACGTAGCAGAAACATACAGAAGGTGATATCATGTACAGCAAAAGGGCATCTAGGGGAGTGGCGTGGGTATGTGTGCACACAATGATGTGGGTTTCCTAACCTCCAATTAAGCACAACATGGATATAAAGGGTCTATAAATTGAAAGTATAGTGTAATACAACAACTACAAATTCAGGCCTTTAATGTTTTGTTTTTTCATCCTGTAGGTGGCGTGTCTGATCCGGGTACCCACAGAGGTGGTCAAACAGAGGGCCCAAGCTTCCCTCTCATCCTCTACCTACAACATACTGCTGGCTACTCTTAGAGAAGAGGTATGTGGCAATCAGAAGCTTGTTTTTGGCCATTAATTTTGCGTTTATGTGTGTGTGATTGTAACGCTGCTGAGATATGGGATCTGAGGCCATTGATGAAAACAAGCCTGTTGCCAAGAAATGCAAGCAGATTATCAAAAAGCAAACTTATCTGAAATCCAGAACTAAAGTACTCGCACTGTGAGTTTACAAGTAATGAAGTGTACTGCTAGTTCATGTGAAGCCATGATTCAAGGCTGAGGTGTTGATAGTAGTTCCAAAAGGTAGCAGATCAAGGTGGGGAAGATTTAAATGAGTATATTGTCCATATTCATATGTTTGAACATATAAGTAAATTAAGTTTCTGAAGTCCCCTCTGCTTTGAGCCAGATGTACCGATCAGATCCACCAATCACTGTTCTGAATGGGTGTGGATGTTGGGTCACTGATTTCATAAATTGTAATAAATTGTTAGACTTTGCCGCTCCCATCTAAACATTATGATGTTGGGTGGGTGTAGTGTGTGGGGTGGGGGGTTTAAGACGAGTGCTTTGGTTGGAGCATACCAGCGCCTAACAGCTCTCAGCAGTTATGTGCTGCTATAATCTGTGAAGAAGCTGAATAAACGTTGTTCCCACAGATGAATTATACAAGTGCTTTATCTGTTCATTGACTGATGTGCATTAAAGCAAAAATTAGATTTTATACGTTAGATTTAAACATTTTTTTTCCCTGTTGTTTCTCGGGGCAGGGGGTTCGAGGCTTGTACAGAGGATATGGCAGTACGGTTCTCAGAGAGGTAGGTTTCATTCACGGGTTATCTTCACACTCAGTCGCTCACTTGTGTCTGTCATCCACTGTTGATACCATCATCAGTACCTGTTCCACAGCAGATCCTGCACTTATGTTTGTCTTTGGTAAAGTTTAGTTCCAGGTAATTACAAAGTATGTCATACAGATCATATTGAAATCAATACTAAAACCAGCTCCTCAGCTCTTTGAAAGATGTGTGGTGGATTTTTTTGGATAGGTTGAACGGATATTGAGGCTTTCCACGCTTGTGACTGAAGACAATTTAATTTCTCTTGGGTTGGATTGAAGTTTGTAGTATTGATTTACAGATTTTTTTTTTCCTCCCTCACTTTCAATTCAGTCAATTACTTGCACAAGATGTGTGCTCTCCTTTTTAGAGCTAAATCTGATTAATTAATTCAATTACTCTGGTTATAAATGCAAAACAAAACAAGGATAAATGAGTTCTGGGCTAAACTCCCTTGATAGGCGCTCACCTTTTTGTAATGGAGAAAAAAAAGCAGCTCTAGTTCTTTGATTCATGATCCTCTGCCTAATTGCACCTGCAGTGCATGATATTGCAAAATAATTGCAGGAAGCATTGTATGGGTGTTTTGAGTTTCAATAGAAGTGGAAAAAGAAAATGGAGAGGGAGAAAGAAGTATATGAAGGTGACACTTGTCTTTTTTTTTTTTTTTTTTTTAGGGAGGTGGGTGAGGGCGTAATCTAGTCCCCTCTGCTGTGCTAGCCTGTACTTATTTTCTGCCTCACTAAACTGATGTTATTCACGCAAATTCCATCTGGACAGCCAGGGAAAAAAAGGACAACAAGACACTGTGATTTCTCCGAGGGGCTCTGAATAAATGAATACATTTGGAGGCTGGCGCACGGCCTGTGTGCATACTAACACTGGCAGATGAAACGCAGCGGTGGCGGCAGGGATTTGGGGCACGGGAACGGCAAAGGATGCTTCGTGGTGATTGGCTTTGACGTGTGTCAGGAAGGTAATTCATTTTCTCTCAGCCTCCGTCGCTATCCGCCCATCTCGCTCCTTTGGCCAAGAGACCCTGTCAAGATAAGTTTGTTTATGTGGTACGGCATGGCGCCTCCCTGCTCTCACTGGCCCACTAATTGAGGTCCTATCTGTGCTATATATTCATTAGGCAGCCTTCAGAAGGCTTTTCTGATGGGTATGATATCGCATTAGCGCCCAGTGTGCAAGAATCCACTTTGATCATCTTGGAGGGTGGAGTAAAGGAGTACAAGTGTCACGTCAGTTGTGATCCGTTTGTCATTGTTGCGCCAGCCTACATGTACGGGCGGTTTTTGCCCAGCACACCCCGGCTTTGCCCAAAGTTGTCTTTAAAACTTAAATCTAAATTATTGATTAATAGGATTTCAGTTCTTTTTAATTTTGCACCACATTAATCTTTATTGCGGTATACCCTTTCTGTCAAGTTTTCTGCTGAGTTGGCATCTTATGGGTTCCAACTGAACAGAGCATGAAATCACTGAGATTTAGATTGGGGTGAAGGAAACTGGAGCGCGGTGAAAAATTACTTTATTCTGCTCTAGAAAAACAAGGACCTTTTTTAATTAACACCAGCAAGACTTTGCTCAGGACTTTGAGAGAGACTACACTTGCCCCATATCCCACATAAGCTGTTGATGTTGTCTGTGTGTTCATTTGCATTCATTGTATGAAAACACACAGGGTAATCTTCCGAGTCTAATCAAGACTCTAATTATATGTCATCAGTAGTAGTGGTCCTCATTTCATCAGGATTTCCTGCACTTGCGCTGTTTTGGATTGTACCATCTTTCTCCACTAGATGGCATGTTAAGATTGGTACTGCCTTTATGAAGCTCGTGCCTGACTTTTGTTTGAATTCCACACAATCTGTACTTCCCCTCCTCCCTCTCCTCACCTATCAGTACCAATCCAGCTCCATGACATTTATGCACAGCAGTTACTGATTTTTAAAAGAAATTATTTATTTTTATATCGAGCCCTTTTTTTCTGATCCAACATATTCTGAGGCAATATTGAGTAATTGAGTCTTAAGTGGGTTATTAGATAGTGTTTAGTAATGTGGTGTTGTGTGGGTTGCGGAGTGGCAGGTGTAAGTAAAGCTGGCTCTGTAAAATGCACCTTGTCTCAGTGACTCTGACATACAGCCAGTCTACATATAATCACTTATAGTTGTGTTCTGGAAAGTGTCTGCTCTGAATGCTCTTAATAAACACATTTAATCTAGGAAGCACACAGACAGGGGAGGTATTTGAGCCACCTAAGTTAAAGCAAAACCGGGTGTTAGAATGACTTCCCTTTACCAGCATTACATATAGTTTGCTTAATACAACCCCTCCGTCAACCTCAAAGCTTCCCCACTTCAGCAGCTGGGACCTGGCAATGCAAAGTACAGGCTCTGGCAGCTGGGCTTATGAAACACCTCTCCATCCAGGCTCCCCCATCCCAGCTCTGCTTTCTATTTATCCATCTCCTCTTCAATCTGCTGCCCGATT